GTCTCCTTAAATAGCTTTACGCAATATTGGAAAGTATGTATATTGACGATATTAAAAAAAACTCTGCATTGATACATTATGTTCATTACTTTTTCTGCTAGATAGTAATGATTGCATTAACCTTGTAATTTTTAATTCTTGGCATTTGATAATGCAGTATCCATCGTGTTAAATTCGATGACTGAAGATGAAGATAGTGTGGAAAATCCTTTATTTCAGTTTATTTAGCATTATATGCCATAAGAGTTTTATGGAAGACTCTCCATTAATGTCGATCAAACAATTCTTCTGTTAATTCAAACAACATTCAGCTCATTACGTTCACGGAATTTCAAATATTTCCCACAGGTTTCTTTTCCACGAATCAATATATGCTACAAGAGCTTTACTGTAGATTCTGCATTAATGCCCATAAAACAATTCTTCTTTTACTCCAAGCATATAATTCAGCTCCAAACTATTCAGTAATCTCTACAATGGAGGTGTAGTCAATTTGTCAACTCCACTTTCATTGTCACAGACGTTGACTTAAAATTTATTCAGTTACTTCGTCCTTCTCAGTCATCTTCCTGTCAGTTTTAATTGAAAAGTATATACATATACACAACTTTTACTAAAATTCAACTTAAACTTCTGGAAAATCCTTACATTTCATTCGAAATACTGTTATTTGATATCCGTAACATCGTAATTTTTCGTAAAAGAAATCTCATTAGAAAACAAAATGTCATCATTGCCATCTGTTCCATCCGCGTCTCACTGCACCGTAGAAAATGGAGCGAATTAGGGGATTGCATTCAACATCAACTAATATCATTATTTCCCACATTTCACAATCGTACTACATGAATCGCTGTTGAATTCTGCAATCTCGAACACACGTCGCACAAATCAAGATTAATCGTAACAAGCGTCGCGGGAATTAGCAGAACGACATGAAAAAATGCTCGAATACGATCGACCGGTAATACGAATGAAAATACTTCGGATTGCGAGCCGTGGTGAAAATAAAACGGAAGCAAAGGACACGGAAGTTCCCGTGTACGTGGCGGAACATTGCGTCAGAAGTCACGGATGTGCCGCATGAAATCGCGTGAGACTGCCTCGGGGGGTAACGTGGAAGGCGTGTTGCCCGCAACGACGTGCAGACAGATGGGAGTGGTCTCCGCAATCACGATGGGCGTGGTATTTTCACGGCGTGCTGCAGCTGCACCCTCCGTTGCAGCTCGCGTGCGCTACTGCACTCACCTTTCAAACTCGTGGCAGACGAGTTGAGCGACGTGAAAATTTATTCGTCACTCTCGCCGCGTCTATTTGCTCGATCACGAGAAGAATTTTATTACGTCGGTGGATATAAAAAATGTTTTTCAGAGTTCGAATTCGCCGGGCCAATAACATCCATGAACCCTTTAACGGTGTTTAACGGCTATACTCGTCGTATGAAAAAAGAAATATCTTTTACTATAAAAATTGAAATTTTATTAAAAATTGAAGAACGTATTTGTCTTATGAGAATAAAGGAATCAAACTAACTACGTACAGTAGACTCACGTTAAAGTAACGGTGCCGGGCTCTCGAGGCGGGTTTTTCCTGGAAACGCTACTTTAACGTGAGCCAATGGACACGCAGGATCTCGTGACAGTACTGTCAATCCACCGATTAGATTAGAACTTTGGTTACAGATGGCAACCGATAATGAGGTGCATCCACGTGGGCGTTTCTACCGCTACTTTAACGTGCTCTATTTTAACGTGAGTCTACTGTATGTAGATATGTATACATTTCCAAAACAAAATTTCACCGTTAAAGGGTTAAAACTTTGTCCGATCATTTATTGTTTCAGATCATATGAAAGAAGAAATATGATGTGATACAGGTGTTTTGAATACTAACAAGATTTATAACAGAGATACTAAAACCCTCACTATCAGCCGTCATGAGTAATCAAAATATTCGGGTGACTGTTTTGTATGAACTTAAGCTGGGGACAAGTGTCGTAAAAATTGCTAAAAACATGAATTTAAATGTTAGGACAGCGCAAATTCAAGGCTGGTGAATTTGCATTAGAAAATGAATTAAAAGGAAGGCCGATAGAAAGAGTTAGAGATATTATTAAAAAAATCTACATCAACTGCGTGTTGTTAAAGTTTCATTTGTAAAAACGACATTTGATATGCACCAATCTAATATGTAGTATACCTCGAAAATTCGTTTAACCGTTGTTCATTTCTTTATAAGTTTATAAGTAGACTGCAGATTTTTATGGAAAATGGTATTTTCTAAAGCAATTTATACAAGGAAGAGCAAATGCAGGAATTGCTTTCTTTTCTTAAATATCATATTAGGTTCGGAATAAACTAGAAAACTGATTGAATCTGACTAAAGTTTTGTTTTCTATTGTATTTTACAGACCCCTATAGGCTATAAATGCATAAAAGCCGCAGTCTATTTATAAGTTACTGGTAACAGATTGTTCTGAGAATTTTCCCACTACTTGCCTACATAACAGTAATGTATTTAGAATTACCCTAACAAACATTATGAACGCAATTCCATAAAAAAGACTAGATCTACCTAATATACAGGAACAGATAAAACAATGTATACAGTTTTCCTCATCACTGTTATAATTCGAGCAAACCACCATAATCTAAAATTGTTAATATCACAGTCCAAAATAACAAATAATTTTTTTCTACAGATTTCCACTGTAACCTTCCACATTTTACAACTAACCGATCGATCCAGCACGATCCAGCGCAACCCTCTGGATCGGTCCCGCGATCATGGAAAAAAGGGCGAGATGCGGCAGCCAGCGTCCCCATCCTTCCCCCCTCGCTCCTCACGATTGCAGTGCAGGGTATACGCGTACTTTTTATTCGCGATTTACATGATAAATCTCGTCAGGAGGATCGACCCGACATCAAAGTTGGAAGGCCGAGGAGGAGCGTCCGAACGCCGTTTGTACCGGCCCGGCAGATCGAGCGGAGGCAGAATGGCGCGCAGGTAGCGCAAGAAAGGTCGGTCGGCCCCTCAGATGCTCGCAATTAATAAGAGCTTAATGGGGGCCGCGCGCGGGCCGATATAGCGCCGCTACGTTCGGGGGCCCTGGGTTTCTTCGTTGTTCTGCCACCGAAATCATCGATGCCGACGACAAAAAGCCAAGGCACGGCCGTAAAACATTTCGCTCGGCGAGACGGAGGTGCTCGGGACACGTCTTTGCAAAAAGGGCCGCTCTCCTTTTTAACCCCCGCAGCCTCCTCGACGAATTATATAAGAGACTGGGAAAGCTTTGGCCGTTCTCAGGGATTAGAACGACGAATCGGGGACGCCGAGAAAGAATTCGGAGCTGGTCTGATCTTGGGATCGGGAAAATTGTCAGTTTATAGTAGTGGGGTGGCTTGACGATATTATGAATTAGGGTAAATGTCCCAATTACTACCACTTTATTAACGGTACTGATTTCTGAGGAAATCGAAAGCTTGTGGTGTTTCAATGATATTTCTTAATGTCCAACATATTCCTCTATCGGATTTAAATTGTGTTGTTAGGTAATAAGACATGTAGACGATTAATTATTGTTAGATCTGATACTTGTTGTGATGTTTGATAACTTAGGGAACACTTTGAAGTACCATTTTATATTCTTTTAGGACATTTCCGACTGAATAACGTACAGTGATGTCTGAATACGTATCTAGAGAAAGCTCTCGTTATAAAGATACGGCTTTTTATATGTTAATCGGATTGGATCACCTTCGAAATGGACTTCAAGTTCGTGACTTCAAAGAAGCCGACGCACGAATCATATGCTATAAACCGTTGATAATAAAACTGGGACATACAAGTAACAGTCTCTAAGAATATACTATACTCTTACAACTGATACCGCTTCTCTTTAAAATAAGCTAGTAAGAATAAAATAAATGTAATTAAATTTGACAAACAGAGAAACCATTTTATGTCTGTTAAACTATTTTAGGGTGAAATTTCGTTAATTACCCATACGCCACTTAATTGATGTTAAAGATTTTATGAAAGTCTGGACATTAAGTACCTTATTTCGTTTACAACTATTGCACATTGTAAACGACAGGTTAGATGTCACAACAGCGTTACTTATTTTATAATTTCCTCTTTGAACCTAATCTCAACGAGAAACTTTATTATCTGCATATATCTGAAATAATTAGAGGAAAATGTACTCCATGAACTATTGCTAAATAACATACCAATTACGAAATATGTGTTTTCTAAAATATCCCAAATAATCGAACTTTGGTTAGACATTTTCAATAACATAGGGTGAAACAAGATAATAAGCCCCGATTAACAAAACGCCTTACTACATATTGTTTCACGCACACGAGTAAGGATATAAGTTCGAAACGGTCTCCGACGTCCACAAACGCTGCTAAAGTATAAGCATCATTATTACATTTCTACAAGGAAATACACAAATTTTGATTTTCGTTTTCTGAACAATTTACGGTGAGTACTAAACAAATTGAACTTTGTTCATTTTATTAAACATATTCTATTTGTGTTCCTGACTCTATCGTATATTTGCTTTGCTTCAAATTTGATAATGTTTCGTTAAAAAGAATATAAAGCAGTGACTTATTTATGTAGAAGCATTTTTTCACATTTTAATCGATTACTGTGTTACAAAATGCCTTACCTAAACGTTACAAAAAATGGTTATTTTCTGCTACTTCTTGTTACGTTTTCATCATATCTAAGCAGTAGTTGTAAAGAGAAAAAAATTAATATATTGTAATTTTGCGGATAAAATAAAGAATTCCTGAAGAATATTTTCTTCCATTGAGTTTTCTTTAAAAGTGGATCATACAGTCTAGTTTCACCCTGCGTCTTTTTTTGCCAAATCAGCGACAAGGTATGAAAGGCCCTATATTAGACCGACGTCGGATATCGACCATACAATTCCCGGAACCGGTAACAATTCGCGGATTCATCGAATTAACTCTCGTTCTACTCACCAGAAAGGGGTGCATACGGCCCGTGAGGGTAAGGGGGTGCGGAGGAAGCGTCGACGAGGGACTGCGACGGCGTCGCCGACGTCCAGTCCTTGTAGGAGGCCGCGGCGTGCGCGTGGTGCGCCGCATGGTGGGACGTATGGTGGCCGAGTCCTCGTGCACCACCCAACAACAGACCACCGTAACTCGTCACCGCCGCCATATTATGGTGGTGATACTCGTGCACAGCCCTGGAACACAGAACCGTGGAAACCGTTCGCCTTTTAATTTCGATGTTCGACCGTTTGGTATACACCAAGAATATCACGATGAAAGAAGGGGAGAGGGAAAGAGGGAAAAAAAACAAAGAAGAGAGATAGTGAAAGAGAGAGGGAGAGAGAGAGAGATCGCGCGAGGAAAAGAAAAACAACCGAAACAAAAAAGAGTGGGGCGAAATGAGAGGGGAAAGAGGGTGGCATAGAGAGGGAGCAAGAGGTAAAAGAATTCTCGATATCGTGCCTCTTCTCAAGAACGGTGACAGACTGGTAATTTATACGGCGGCCGATGCAAGATCAGCGCTAAAGATCTCTCGGGGCAGTGGTACCTGCTCCCGACGGTTTTCTGTATTTTTCACGTCTCGTTTTCTCTTTGCCTCCCGCCGTTCTCTCTTCTTCCCACCTTCTTCACCGTCCCCTTTCGTACGGTCCTTTTAATGGGACCCCTCTCGTTCGGGCGCGCGCGCGTGCGTGCTCCGTTCCGGCTGGTCCGTCTCTTTCCTCGATTTCTCGTGATTTTTCTCCCATCTTTCTTTCTTCTTTTTTTTTTGTCCCTTTTTTAGAACCTTCTATTCCCTCCCTCTACCCTTCCTCACCCCTGGCCAGTCTCTACCCGTGCTCGTTTCCCGTCTCGTGCCCGCCGCGACATTTATTTCTGACGGTTTATCCTGGCGGGCTATCGCGTAATGACCGTGTCGCGCCTGCCGGAGGTGGATTTTTGGAATGCGTGAAACATTGGCCGCATTATCGTCCGTTAATTGAACGAACGACGCTAGCGACGATTCCGTCGATTTGTCACCCCCGTACAGTTTTCGTGCGGCGTCGTTGTTGTCGTCGTTGTCGTCTCGTGCGCGAAACACGAGCTTCGGGCGTGAAACCGGTCGAATTTAAAATGGAGCACGCCACGCCGCGGCCTGGAGGCGGATGGATGAGATTCTTCGAGGGGGCCTCCTCCGGTCGCGCTCGTGAACGTGTGATATCATCAAACTGGATTGGCGTGATACTCGTTTTAATCGTCGCAATAAAGTAGACGTACAATTCTAGATTCGCGGAATGTTGACTGATAAAGCTGATATTTTAAATTGGGTTTTAATAAATTGGGTCGAGAATGTTGGAGTAAGGTTGGAATCGGGTTTAATGACAAAGATCTTCGTATCGCTGAACCTCGCTTATTATACGGTTATTAATTTAAAACGTCGTGTACTCCGTTACTTGCGTTTGCATTTTGGAAATAAGACTATCGATAAAAATGAAAATGGTATTTTTCTAGTAAGTAGGTAAATGTTTACATCACACTTGAGGGGAGGTTGATCACACGAAAGAAAATGTACCGTGATTAATGACCATGAAAAAGTCTCATTTTACTCGTTATGTTCGCGAAAGATTGCTCGTATAATAAAATGTTTTTAAAAGGATAATTAAGAAATATTAATGAAGCAACGAGGAAACGTTAAAATTGTTATTTCTGTGCCACAGAAATTTATTTATCTAGAAGAGATGACAACTATTGGATAGACTCACCTGTGGTGATATTGTGGATAATGTGGATGCCATGGATCCGTTGGATACTCATAGCCTTGACCAGGATGCTGACTGTCCCAGAAGGAAGCTGGGAAGTTCCTCATAGACATAGGTGAGATATTTTCTAGAAAAACGAAAGCGGAAAAACCATGTTACTAAACGCAAAATAATTTTCAGTATAATGAAAGAATTATTCTCCACGATCACAGTCAAACAGTATGAAATAGAAAAGACTATTATTTACTGCTAAGTCGTTGGAATTATACGTCACATTTTACTTTTCTTCCCAGTTAAACTTCTTACCAAATTTGCGAAACCACAATGCAATTTCCCAGTTTTTATGCCATCTTTGTGTATTTAAGCGAACGCGAAGTCACGGTAGCCTACTTTCATATCACAATTACTCCTTAAAAGTCACAAAGTGGCGTGATGTACTCCAATTAGAGACCTCAACCTATTTTTCTGTAGTTTAAATATGGAACGAACATTCTCTTTCAACGTGCTGATAATGTTATTCGACGGTTTATACATAATACTTTAAATTCTGGCAGGTTTCCCTTAAATGACAATCAGCTACCAGTAACCTGTACCAAAAACATAACAGAAATAATAATAACAATAACGACTTTACTCCATCATAAATGATGAACAGATGAGATTCAGCAGTATAGTTATTATAACACCTAATCCAAATGACTATCAATTCAATGAAAGATTCAGCGTTGTTTAAGAATTGACAGAGGAAACTTGATAAAGACTTTATTTATTATAATAAATAAAGAAACACTGTTCTCCACAACTTGCCACTGTATTCACCATCTCATCTTTACCGAATTTCCCAGTGTTAGTCCCGTTTATTTGAACCAATTTTCATTCGTACCTAACCGTCAACGGAGTCCGACGCCATTTTAAAGTCTTTAGCTGAGTACAGGTAACGTAGTCCTACGTTATTTCAAAATCTGTAGCATTCATCACCTGGTCCTCTTTAGCGAGATAATTACTACCTTGATTTAAAATTTTTGTTAGCTTAGATATTCTCTTTATATAATAACGTTTTAAAAGGTGACTATTAACTCATTATATGTTTAAATAGCAGAACCCTGCGGTATTCAGTTATAGACTTTTGAACATTCTACGCGTGTTCAGCTAACGTCTCGCCTAAAAACCGCAGACTGTGAATATGTTAATATTTTCCAATCATACATTCGACTGTCTTGTTATTCCGTATTTGGATGACGTAGCCGTCAAAGTGTTAAATAGCCTTCAACAATGAATCACGTAGTGTCCCTCATCGATCTACGATGGATCGACCCGGTTCTCTACCGATCAACGGAACCAATTGACGCAACAGAGTTTCTGTCGAAAACGATGCGTCCCGACTGAACCAGGAATGTTTATTAAAATATTTGTATCGGTTTCCCACGGGGCCCAGCACGCGATTCTTTCGAGGGCTCACGATAAACGAGTAGCCGGATCCCACGGGATCGAACCGCACGACAGAAAGGTACCGCTCGGTTGTTTTACAAGCGACCACTCCAAAGCCAGAAGCTTGTCGTGTATCCTCCCGCGAGTCTCCGGGTCCTTGGTCCCGGGATTCCTTTTTTCTCTCTCGAATCTCCACTGGCCAATCCAAACACATATTCGAAGGTTGAACCAACGAGGTCGAACCAGCCGACGATTTATACTTCTAATTCCTCCTCTCGCTCTTCCTCGATTTCATCTCTCCGCCAGTCCCGGGGCTGCTCTTAACTATCCCATGGAAACCATGTCGACAACTAATTTATCCTGGCACGGGGAACTGCCATTATTTAACGTAACCAGTGTCAACCGGGAGATATCGTTTGAATAAGCCACCCTTAATTCCATTCGAACGTTCTCGTGCCACTTCTAGCGGGTGGTTTGATGATTTTGTGGTATTAATAACTTCATTTTGAGATATTAAGTTGGATATTATACCTTGTGCATTTAACGAAACTTAACCCTTTCATTCCCAAATTATTTCAAGATTATCAAAGAAATACTTTGTTGTAGTTTTGTATATATTACATGAAATATAAATGATTCGCAAGAGCATTTGAAACCGTTTAATGCTGTTTGTCGTTTGTTGCCATTTGGTTACCTGTTTATTTTTATCACAGTTAGATATAATTATTCCTATTACAATGTTATTATACTTAATAAAATCGAATTTTTCTTACCGTTGATCAATAAACCGTCTTGCAATATTTGAAAGAAATTAGAGCTTTGCAAGTTTCTATTACATTGGTAATAATGCTTAACACCCGAATTCCATCAAACGAAGGAAACAGAGGACTAATAATGTCTTATTTTGCCGATAAACTTTTAAATGCACATTCAAATGTGTGTCATACCATCTATACAAAACTAGATAAAACTATTATATACTCACAGATATGAAAAAATACATAATACCTATATTTTATTTCGTAATTTTAAATACGGAACCATATGGCAACAGTGGAAATAAAAGGGTTAATGTAATAATATGTTTGGTGTAGTTTACCCTTAAGGACACGGGCCGTGAATATGCCATTTCTTTGTTGCGTAATTTTAAGGGGCAGAAGCAGGCTTTTTGTTTATCATTTACTTTAGTAATTTTCGGGCAAAAAAGTTAGAAAAATTCGCAGACTTCTCCGTATCAGTGAAGAGGAATACGCCGCCCATGACATTTAAGGTTAATGAGGTTTTTATTTTTTTAACCAAGTAGTTCGCAAAATTCCATATTGTCCAATTAATAAAACGGTCGCAATTCAATAAGAAAAAATTAATTTCACAAAAAGCGAACGATTCAGTACCAACAGCTGAATAAATGCGACGTCGTAATCATAAAATAATGGTTTATAGGTAGTAAATATTTTTCTTCTGGACCAGTTCCAGGTGCGTTCCATGTAAATAATCACAAGTGGCACATCTGTAAGTAAATATTGCGCGAGAACATTAAAAATTTTCCAGATTTGTAAGTGGAGCCGAAGTTTATGTATCAAGGTCTCCAGTATCGATCTGACGTATTCGAACAATTGACAGATAATACTGGAAATGGTTTCACATAACTAGATTGTGGATGTTTATGCAAGTTCACAGCTTTATAGACTAATTATCAAGGACTTTATTAGATGAAAAATTAAATAAAAACTTCGCGCTACAGTATGTGATCAAATTATTGAAGCCATAGTACGAAAAATATATTTTTTTGTTTTTATAAAAATAAAGTCACAATATTATAGTTTTGACACTGCATAATTTTTAATTATCAATTGTGCAATAAGAATGTACAAAAAATAAAATTAGTTTATGCATAATTATTAAAAATACAGAAAAAATTCGAAAGATTGTCAATTTAGTGGCTCAAATAATCTGTTCACCCATTGTACAGCTCATTTAACAAGTTAAGCGCCGTCATATAAGAAGAATGATATTGCTTTGTTGGCCACTGTGTAAAAAAAATTTGTGTAATTTGTAAAATTACAAAAATAATGTAAATACTGTGTAAAAAATGTTGTGTAAAAAAGCGTATCTGAATGAAAGACACAGTATCCAAACGAATACAAGGGCCCACTAGAGTGTATTGTATTCAATTGGATCTAAATGGTGCTTAACGTGCTAACTTCTCGTCAGACTGCGTTCGTAATTACCAACAATGTCCAAAAACCTGTCCGCAATTCCCAATTATGTACACAAGTATCCGTCAGGAATAAAATATTTTTCCCAAATTTTGGAACCGTTTCATCCGTCTCGTCCTCCCGATTAACATATTAACAACGCCGTAACAAGAAGCTCGCCTCCGCCGCGATAGGTCGAGAAATTCGAATCGGTCCGCAATCTCCGCGCGGCTAGCCGGGCCGAACGACGATACTGTAATCCGATTGGGTATCGGGTCGTCCCGGTAACAACTGACCCGCGACACTTTAAGCATAAAGAAGCCATGGGGCCGCATTGTTTCCCACGGGAGGAATAGAGGAATGGGGTGGGGGTGAGGAGGGCTCCTCTCGTTCCCGACGAACGTGTAAAATATACTTTCTCGTTGATCCCGGGGCTGGGCGACTCGACCGACCGGATTGGCCAATGCGGCGCGGCATCATCCTCCTACACACGTATCAAGAAAGATTGACTAACTATCGCGTTAAATATTGCGATTTGCTTACAGCGAAGGGGGCAGGGAGGGGGAGAAGAGATGCGAGATAGCGCGAGAAGGCCGGGGACCAGGCCTTCCACACACTTTCGTCCTTCGTTCCACGTCCTTCGGCCCTTCCTCCAACCCCCGTGGTCCCGCTTCCACTTTCTTGGCCGCCGTGCGCCTCGTTCCTCCTCCTGCTTCTCTCCTATCCCCCTTTTCTGTCTCTCCGGGGCCCCGGCTCACCGGCCTCGGCCGACTGTCCTTTATTTATTAACGCAATTAAAGAAACAGAGTGTCGAGCGTCCACGGCCGGCTTTCTACTGTGCCGATGCCGCGGTGCCGGCCGAAGGGAACGCGTCGACCGAGCAGCGGGTAGAAGGCAGGGAGGGAGGGAGAACCTGGCGAAGGTAGGGATTCAATTCTATGCGAACCGCGAACCGAGGCCCCTGATGGAACTCGAAAGGGTTGTCGATGCCAAATTCACGGACGCTTCAGTCGAACGAACGCGTGATTTGTACCGTAATTGAAGGAACGATTCTGTACCCCTCTGCAAAGTAGCATGCTTGGTATCATGAGATTGCGAAATTTTGGTGGATGTACAGGAAAATGTTTTACTTTGGACGCTTGTTTTTGGAAACTGTGACACAGTACAGTACGAAAGTCAGTCAATAAGTAAGTTACATCCCCTCTCTAAAAACAATACGATCAAATGTAGAAAATCTTTTTCATTAGCAATGTAAACGGACTAATTCACGAGTTCCTGTTTCAAAAAATTTCCGTTCTGTAAGGTTTTATTTTTCTAAGATACGCTCCTGTCATGAGATCCCCGTGTGTCGCACCTGAATAGCGACGGGGCTGGCGACGAACAAAGGCGCGACTGTCAATTTTTGTCTGGACGATGATGTCAACGGGCGAAGCGCGTCGGAGCGACAGATTCATTGTGTGACCGGAACGACGCCTGGTTCGGCTCGCTGCGTGTCCTGATAAAC